TGTATGGTCTCTTTCCTTAAAATATAATCCAAATACAAAGATCATCAACTAACGGTATAAAAAAAAACCTATGTGAAACTGATCTGTAGTGGTTCTAACAAATTCAAATTAAAAGCTATTCTAAATTTCATATCACAATAATTTTAAAACTTACAAAGTTTAGACCATTGTTTCACGTTGTCCCCGTCATCCAAAACTATTGTGTTTATGCAGTAATTCCTTTGCTATCCCGTAGTCAGATTTTTAATCATCGCATGACCCCGAGTTTTGTAATTTCTACAGCAACATCCAAAAAAAAAAACATTTCATCTAACAGGGAAAGGAATTAAAACAAAATACAAAACCAGAATTCCAAATCATCCATGAAATTTTCAGCCAAATCAAATTGATGTGAGTTGACCAAAAACAGAAATAATTACCTGTGGAAGAATAGAAAGTGACCCATAAAGAGAGCAAGCAAAGGAAGTTTCTCAATTCCAATTTTGAATTAAGGTAGTCCCTCAGTCGCCGTGACGGACGACAGTTGATTCTGGTTTGATTGGCTTTTATTGATTTCAAAAACTAGAAGCGAAAGAATTTGTAATAGAAATGCTTTCTGAATTTTGATTTTATTGATTCAATGGGGAGATTGTATGAATTAAATGATCGTGAAGAATTTTGCATTATGGAAGTTATTCATTTGGGATTTGGGGGTAAATTTTAGACTGGTTCTTCTTTCATTTTATTTTTTTCATTTTATTCTTCTGCAGAAGTGATATAGTCTTATAATTGGAGTTACTATTATAATTGGAGTTATAATTTACAATTTACATTAAAAAATTATCATTAAATGTCGACTTACATGTCTAATTTTTTGCCATATGGATTACCTTATCTAATTTTACGTCAAACTCATCTTTAATATAGATAGATAGCTATCTATCTATATTAAAGGTGAGTTTTCAATATGACACATGGTGTAAACTTAGATAGGCTAATCCACGTGACGAAAAAATAGATAGCCAAATCCACATGTCGCAACCACATCAATCCATCACTTAATGGTAATTTTTTTATTTATAATTCAGTAAAATTTATAAATAACCAATTTTATCCAGTAATTTTTTGTCATAAAACTTTTAAAACAACAACAACAACTCTCATTTCAATTGATCGGATATGTACGATAAGGAAAGCAAACAAATTGTAAATCAATTTTGTAAGCCTATCATCTCGATAAAATAACTAATTACACTTCAAAAATTGCATATATTTTGACTTTTTATTAAAATCAAATAAGGTATTTTTTTCCACATCTTGAAATATCATACAATTGATCGAAGGTGATCGAATAAACAAAAGAAAAAATAGAAAAAATTAATGAAAGTCATGAATTCATTACATAAAATGTAGTGTAAAAAAAGAAAAATTCCAAACATTTCTTTACACTAAATGACTTTGCATTCTAACCTTGATACATAAAATAAATTAAAAGATATAATATGGGTAAAAATATTAAAAGAGATCATTATGAAAACTTAATAGATATTTTTTGAAAATATAAAACCAGAAATCAGTCAGTTATATATCTACACACACACATTTCACCAAAAATTTTTTTTTTTACATTAGATGATTTTGAATATTAAAAATTATTCCAAATATACTTAAATAACACAACACATTGACATTAAAAATTACATTGTTGTAATTTACATCATTAATATTATTTTTGAACAACCCACATAACATACAAGGTAAACACTAACCAAACCAAAAAAAAAAAAATGCACACCATTCAAAATTTCTATTACTGCCGATGAACGGGAATACTTTATTCAACTACTTAAGCAACACTAACAAGCAACGGTGATTATATAACTATGTATTAATCTCCAAAATTAATTTGAAATCCAAAAAAAAACTGAAACTAAAGAAATAAAACTTACTATTTAGGTCGTAAATAGTTATCAAATTACCTAGATCAATTGGCAATTGAGATAATGAAACAAATTATACGAAGAGTAAAGCACCAAAAAAATATATACAATACCAAAACTAATAAAAGAATAAAAAGAGTCTTTAACTATCTATTACAATGCTAATACCTGAAGATTTATCCAACAATTAAACAGATTCGTGGGAAGGAAACTTCAAAACCTGAAGCGGAAGATGTGTGACCGGTTGTAATTACATTCAAGTTACATTGATAAGGGTAGAAAATTTTCTGTTAGAGTGACAATTTATATGACATTGGTAGAAATGTTTAGAGTGATCATATGAAAAATTAGAGAATACTTTTAATAAAAAAATATAAAGTCAAAAATCAATAAAATGAAAAGGATGGACAGTAACTTACATTAGATGTTGTTGAATACTAAAAATTATTCCAAATATACTTAAATTAATAGAACACGGTGACACTAAAAATTAACAATCATAATTTATATCAGTAATATTAATATCACTTTGTCGAAAATGTTATATAATCCTTAACTCATTAAATTTCTGTATATCTTGAATTACCGGGGTAAACACTAGTATTATATTAAAGAAAAATAAGCTTGTGGAAAAAAGTACACGTGTCAAGTTCCTGTTGACCCGTTTTCCGGCAAAAGTTTTTAGTATACAAATGTTCATCGCATTAACTGTTAAACATAATTTATGGAAATAATCACAATTTATGGATGAATTTGATTACTTAAGGAAAGAATCGCAAATTAGTGATCTTTTATTCAATGATTTGATCAAGACATGAAACCTTTATTTGAAATGATTTGAAAATGATTAGGAAATGATAATTATGCTAGAATGTTGACGTTTTCTCCACGTTTATTCGGTTTAAATAAATTAAGAAAGTATCACAAATTAATGCTCATTTATACTTTAATTTGAGCAAGATTTAAAAAAATTTTATAATCAATTTCAAAATAATTAGTGAATGGTATGTGATTTAATGTGGACATTTTTAACATATTTGATTTTTTTTGAAAATAGAAAATGATTACAAATTATTAATTTTGTATTTATTGATTGATTTAAAATAAACTGTGTTAGGACTACTATATGCACCCTACCCCCTTCCCCTATGTACACCCGTCCACAATTTTGTTCTTCTCATCCTTTACTTCATATAGGTTAGAATTATGTGCTTTGAATTTTACTACTTTTTTGTGTGCTCTTTTTGTTTCAATTTTGCTTTTAAAATATTTTTTTGGGTCTTGCTTGAAGGCAATAAAAATGGCCACCGAATGCCATCGGTATAGCCACTAACTCTTTTGTTTATATTGTGTAAATTTTCTCATAATATGATTTGCAAGATTTAATTTACAAGTTATGTTCACTTGTGTAAATTATCTCAAAACATGGCTTGCAAAATAAATTTGTAAGTTATGTTTGTATTGTGTAAAGTCTCCCATTACGTGGCTTCCAAAATCTAACTTGCAGGTTATGTTCACTAATGTAAATTTTCTCAAAACATGACTTGCAAAAGAGTAATGATGTGTACAGAAAAAATTTACAAGGAAAACTTATAAGGAATGAGTTGTCAATTATCTAAATTTTGCCCTAACCTTAAATGCTTAAACCCCAAATGTAAAGTATTAAAAATGAATGGTTATAATCAATTTCTTGTTATTTTTCCTTGTCATTTTTTCCTTGTACGGATCATTATCCCTTGCAAAATATGATTTGTAAGTTATGTTTATATTGTGTAAATTGCTCCAAAATGTGGCTTGCAAAATATAATAATTTACTGGTTATGTTCACCTTTTTTTTTCTTAACTAAAGCCTAACCATATCCTAATACATGGCTTACTAGATAATAGCAAATTATGTTCAAATAATGTCTTACTTTTACAATTACTATTAATTCTTCATATTTTTATGAAGTATACTTTTTACTATATTTATTTATATACATGGCTTCTAAAAACTAATTTGGAAATTATGTTAAGTATTAGAAATTCTTAAAACATGGCTTACAAAAATAGATTTGCAAGTTGTGTTCACTTTTTCGAATTATCCAAAAAATGTTTTACAAAATCTAATTTACAAGTTATATATAATTAGTTGTCCCAATCTTCCAAAATATATCAGTAATTTTTCTATTACAATTATGCAAGCCGTATTAGAGTTAGAAATTAACATATTTATTTATCTTTTCTTTAAAACAAACTGTGTTTTGGAACCATTTCCTTTACCCAAAAAATGATTTGAAAAATCTAATTTACAAGTTATACTCTCTTTTGTAAGTTTTTTCAAAACATGGTTTGCAAAATCTAATTTGCAAGTTATGATATCTTTTTTAACTTTTCACAAAACATGTCTTGCAAAACTCAATTTGTAAATGATTTACAAAATTCAATTCAAAGATTTTGTGTAGAACAAAGAAAATCAAAGCAAAATCCATCTTGTTAAACCATCTTGTTTATTATATCTTCATACTTTCTTTTTTATTTTAGTCTCATCATTCACTGATAAATAAATATGTTCAGACAACAAGCCGAGACAAGAACTAGAGATTTGTATAGATTCAAGCCGAAAAGCTAGCTTTCGAATTTCATTCCATTAGAAAACAACATATGGACCAGATTAAGGCATCTCTTAGTGCAATATTGCATCAATTCATTTCTAATATTTATTTGCATATGAAATATACTACTCCCTCCGTCCTACAAAAATAGTCCAGTTTAATAAAAAAGTTTGTCCCAAAAAAATAGTCCAATTTCACAAAAGTCAAAATTAATTGAATTGAAATTACTTAAATATCCAAAAGAACAATGGTAAGGAAAACAATGTCCAATTTCTTTGATTTTCATTTTTTTTTAGTTTTTTCTCATTTTTTTAAATGATTAAATCTTTTAATACATGAATAATAAAAAAAATGTGTTATATGTCAAATTAATCTACGTAACGAGATCATTCCATCAAAATCTATTGTCAATATTTTTTGAGATGAAAATTTTGATCAAATTTAAGTTATGAAATAAATGCATATGTAGTTAACTTTTATAGAAATAACTAGAACGGGCATTAGTGGAAGTTATGGGTATAAAATGAGTTGTACATTTGGTGTTTTAACTAAATTAAAAAAGTTGTACATTTTCAAACTGGACTATTTTTTTTTGGGAAGGATGGAGTATATTATATTGATGATCATATTCATCAAAAATCACATGGGCTTAATTATTCATCGAGAGGTCAATAATCTTTAGCGATCCGTCATTGATACAATTATTACATCATCTTTTAGCTAAACTTGAAGCTCTCTTCTACAAACAGGACAACTCCCATGTCGGCGTAACCATTCATCAATGCAGTTGACGTGGAAACAATGTCTACACACTGGCATCATCCTCCCAGACTCTCCATTCTTGAAGTCCTGTAATGATTTTCAATTGTATATCAGAATTTTAATTAAAACATCACCTATGTGATATTCTAAATAATAAAAATATATTCCCTCCGTCCTATAAAAATAATTCAAATTGATTTTTATATTTTCTACTATTTTTAGTATAAATTTGAAAATTTAATGTGGACTTATTTTTTTGGGACGGAAGCAGTAATATATCCTTATTAAAATCAGAGTAAATAAACACTCTTTCTTTCATTGTTGCAAGACGACAAAGAAAGATATATTAAGTCAACCAATTTGGACTAGTTGGTTTCGTAAGTGGTCCGAATCTCATTTACATTGTCTTTTAGGGTTCATTTAAACTAGACATTAGGCATCATATTCTTTTTTCTTCCTCTTTTTATTTGCCACAGACTCAAAAGGATTAGCACGAAAGCAATTTGGTCAAGTTGATTCCTCGTACGTGGTCGGAATCCATTCCCATTTAATTTTGGTTTATATTATATAAACATAAGCTGAGCAAACAATAAAGTAAACACCATTTAATTCTTTCATTGTACAAGCCCCAGAAAAAGGATTACCATCAAGCAAATTGCACAAGTTGTTTCTTGGCTGGTCTCCATTCCATTTGGGCGAAATTTATACTTGGCTAGATCCCTTATAGCTTCATGAGATAAGCCCCTTGTTCCATTGACCTCAAAAATGTCCGAAATTTCCCTCAAACTCGTGTCCATATTGCTAATCTGCCATGTTACCCCCCAAAAAAAGAGAAATGGTAAGACAAGAAGCCAATCTATAAGAGAATACAATGACGTAAATATGAAATTGTCCAGTGAAATAATTTAATGATTGACGCTGATCTAATATACTAATGAAAATACAAGATCAGAGAAAGTAATACTCTTTGTTACCCTGCTGGTGAGGGCATCAAAATGACATCATTTCATCGTTACGCTACACCTCTTATGTTCTTTTAAAGAAAAAAGACGCTTATTAGTCCTATCTAAAATTTTGATAAATAGATCTTCAAAGAGGTGCAAAAAAAAAAAAAAAAAAATTACTACATTTAAACAATGCTGGTCACAGAGATATTTGTGAAATATTAAAACTATTGAGGGGATTGAGTGCGTATATTGTTACGTGTTCGTGTTTATTTATGTGAGTTACATGATCAATTATTGAGCTATTTCACTCACTTATAGTCAAAGGGAAAGGGAAAATCTATGAATCTTTGGTCAAAGAATGCAGAATAGAGAATACTCACTTGCCATTGATAAGCCTTAAGAACAGCAGGACTGACCCACTCCATGAATATTTTCCCGTTTACAAGACTACATATCAAAGCAACCTGTACCCCAACAAAAACAGTGTTAAAATGGGGTTTTTTTTTGTTCTTAATTACTGATGTCATCATCGTGAGCATAATTACTGAAAACTGCATTCATAGCGAAAGTGACATATATTTTCTTCTTTTGACAAATCAAATCCGCCTCATTAGAAGGGAAAAAAAAAAAAAAATTCTACATTAGTTTAAAGATTCTAATAAATACTAGTACCAGTTTTCTTCCCTTTGTTCCTTTTGAGACTATCAGAGGTACTCTCTCTAGTCTTTATCTGCAATGTTAAAATTTGTGTCTTGCAAATAGGACAAGACAACATGTACTATATAGACACATGATATTTCAAAATAAATAATTTTTCGGACGGACAATATGCCCAGAAAATGAAAAAATGAAGTAAACATACTTGCTAATCAACGAAATCAGCCACAAGAAATGTGGAAAAAGAAAAATTTGCCAAATTAAAGGCTTGTTTGGCCAACACCTATTTTGCATTTTTGTCTCATTTTAGTTTTCAAAACACCTCTCAAACACAAATCTCAATATTATCTAAACAACTTTTTAATTTATCTTTTAAAAAATATTCAAAAAATTATTTTTACACAATTTTTGTCCACCTCCACCACCATCCGCCGCCACCGGACCCACCACTGTCGCCAGACGACCGCCGGCTGGCAACCGGCTGACCGGATTCCGACCAAATTCCAGCGAGGCTGGTCACTGGCTGACGGTTGTTCGGCAGCGGCACTGGTGGTGGAGGTGGTCTAAAAATATTATTAGTTTATTTAAAATATCACCCAAACAACTTTTTAAATTTTATCTCAAACCACATTTTGAATCATATCTCAAACCCAAGTCAAAAACCAGAACAAAAACTAAAATAAAAACTAAAACAAAATGTTGGCCAAATAAGTCCTAAATCATTCTTCTTTATTCTCTGTGTAATCGTCATCAAGTAACTCACATATCACACAAAGAAACCCTGAACGATATAAAGTATTCATTCTGTTCCAAAATTATTATTCAGTTTGAAATTTCACTTTTACTACAATTTGCATTAAAAATGAAAATTCAAACTGGACAATAATTATGAGATGGAGGGAATATAAACATTTGGTGAGATCGATTAGGAGATTTGTTCGTTTGCAAAATGGTGTAAAAAAAGTGTAAAAGTAAGTGGACAAATAGACAGCGATCAAAAATGACTTTTTTGCAAGTGAAAGATGATATATCAAAGGACAAAAGAATAGGGATTGGTCAAGTGGAGAAAAAAATATGGATAGTAATATTGTTACCAAACCTTGGAAAAGGGCTCTCCGTTGACCATCAGCTCCAGCAACTGGACGCCCGTGATGGCTCCAGTGACCGCACCTACTCCGGCCCCTCGAAAAAGCCCTGTTTCTGTGGTTTGCCCTTTAATTGCCCCTGAAATCGTCCCTACGCTTGCTCCCCCTACACCCCAACTCACCATATTAATAACCCGAACCCGAAATACTGTCACACCAGATATTTCCACTACCATATACAATGAAGATTAAAAATTAAAAAAAAAAAATTCAAAATGCCCCAGACAAAGAAGAGAGAAAAACAGAGGTAGAAAATGTAGACAGAAAGAAGATACTGGGAATATAGAATCAAGCACACAAAAAAAAAAAAAAGAAAAGAAAAGAAAAAAAAAACTTGAAATGATTCGAACCCAGAAGCTTACCTAATGCAAGAATGCAGGTAAGCAGAGACATAGCGGTTCGTTTCAACACTGAAACTAGAAGCCCTGTTTCGAAACAGATTATCAGTTGGTTGAAAAAACAATTAGAAAAGACGCATTCTCTGCATCTGGATGATAGATTTTGTAGACCGCGGAACCAATTGTTCATTGTGGAATTAGGAACGCCAGATAGTAGTATTAGTAGTAATTTCGGCTGCAATGGAGAAGAATGTAATTGGTGTAAATATAATAACTTGGGGAAGAGTGAAGAAACAGGGGAAGAAAGAAGAGAATATTTATAGGGAAGAGAAATAGAGATTAGTAAGAATGGCATTTATAATTGGGTAGTGCCTGCATGCATGAGTGATGAGACTGACACATCCTGGTCCCTCTTCCTAGAACTAACACTTCCTCCCTCTCAAAATTATTGTCCGATTACACTTTTAATACAATACTACAAATTGAATACTATGAAATAATCTTGCAGAATGAATAAACATTGTAAAGTTATAGTTCTACTTTGTCACATTCTTCTGCATTTTTTTTCTTTTTGTTTTTAGTAGTACTATAATCTTTTAATTTCTGCTTTGAACCGAAAAAAAAAACTTCGTTGGTGATAAAAGTGAAAGTGGATGACCACATCAATTGGTTTCCTTTAGTCATTAGTAACGCAGATATGTCAAGTTTCTGCACTAAATTAATCTACTTAACAATTGTCTATGATGTGGCACAATTGTCTATAATTGCACGTACCATACGAGACTATTAAAATGTGTGAGCTAATTAACAAAAGGAATGTCAACATGATCTAATACGAGGAAACAAATGGAGTACTACTAATACTTTTGATCTCAAATCAATTAACATACATTATTCATTAGTATGATCCAATAAATTAATGGAGCACTTCTTTCTTTCTTTTTTCCCCTCCTCCTCCCTTCTAAAGAACAAAAGATTTTATATTACATTCGTGTGTATTTATAAATGAAAGTTATTAAACTATAAGAGAAACTTAAATCTTAAAATTATAATTCTTTGTTTCTGGCTGAGGCTGGCGATACATTCACATCATTTAATTAGGTGGTCCTTTCTTTAATTTATAATTTCATGATTTTCTGGATTCATGCACTTTGCATTTTCTATTAGTACTACCCTATTTGTTAATTTATTTGTTCAGAATCTGGAATTTGATTGGGGGTACCAAAGACCTATTTATGATCTTGTGCGTAGTTTCAGAGGCCTGGGTCCTTTTTTTTTTTTTGGTGGTTTGAACAGCTCCACCAACAATACTGGTGGTTCTTACTTCTTAGAGGATAATCCTACTTAGCACAACAATTTCGGTTCACTTGGAGTTTCAGCATTTTCTGAATTTTTATTTTTGCAACTATTCCCTTTAAATATATGATCGAATGTGAATGTAACGCGTTGTTCAGTATTTTCAAGTTACAAATTGCATCAACTACATTATTTTGATATTACTTCTTCCATTCTATAAAATAATTTTCTTTTTTAATAAACTTTTTTGAGTTTAACAAGGTAGAGTAGTGATCTATTAATTTCATTGGAAACATAAGAATATTGTACAAGGAAGATATGTGACCAGTGGAGGAGTAAGCTGATTTGATCAATATTGATAAAGAATTTGGAATTTAACAAGCGGGATGCAATTGTACTATGTTTATTACAAAGAAATCCGTAATTTATCCATTAAGTAATGTTGTTTAGAAGGGTGACTCCAAATTGTTAAAATCTAAGCAACAAACAACTGCCTTTTCGACCTACTACTTTCTATCTGTTTAACTAGTTCAATAGTTAAGAAGGATTATGATTATTATTATTATTATTATTATTATTATTATTTTTGCTGATTGAATTTCGAAGCTTATGTACATTTTTGTTGCAACTTCTACACAGTTGAATTTTAGTAACTTGGGAAAAATGGGATGACATTTGATTTTAATTACTTTTGATCCTAATGTAAGTGAGTTTAGATTTTAATTTATTCTTTTGTTATACGACCAAAAAAATTACAGGAAGCCAATCCTTATCTAATCGTTTGAGCAAGGTTCCCGCTTAAATAGAAGAGAGAAGTAACGGTAGACGGTAGTCAAACTATAATGACAGAGGTTAAGAAGGTTCTATTGAACCCCTTTTCCAGGAGTTGCATAAACCTTTCTAAGTGACTGGATTTCTTGCTACACCAAACTCTGATGTGAAGACAAAAGACTTTAACTAAAGAGAAATTGGCATTTGTGCAGTCTTAAGTATCACATTTAACTCACAATTGGTACGAATTTGTTGTAATGAATACGATGCCTTGAAAACCAGGTGCTGCAGAACCATGGATTTTAGCCGCAAAAAGCATACTGCTCCTGTGGGCAGCTGACTAGGAGGGAAAAAAAAGAAACAAATCATAATTAGATTTAATTAGGGGGAGTGGTCCTTATTGGGACAAAGAATCTCACATTGGTGGGTCGTAAAAAATTTGTCATCTGTTTATAAGTTTCAAAGGTCACCCCATTCATTACTAAGTGGTTTTGAGATGGGAACCAATCACAGTCCACGATTTGTGGACCTATGATTACTATGGACCCGTGTGCGCGAGCTTGTTGACTGTCCCGGCAGTATATCTGGAGTGTGGATCCGTGTGTACGGGCTTGTTGATTGACCCGGCAGTATATCCGGAGTTGTTGACTGATCCATCAGTATATCTGGTGAATTATGTTGTGTTGTGCAACTCAATAGGCTAAATATCTCATTGGGCTTGAGGGAGGGTGTTGGGACAAAGAATCCCACATTGATGTCGTGAAGGATCTGTCACCTGTTTATAAACTCCAAAAGTCACCTCACTTATTGCCAATTAGTTTTGAGATGGGAGCCCAAGACAGTCACTTAAATTGTTAATCACCAGAAGATATTTTGGGATGCTTCGTCTTCAATATCTTGTTCTTGGGTTTATCTCTACCAGTTTAACCACCAATAACCCATAAAAAATTTAATATTTTTGTCTCGTGGATATTTCCTGCATTTATCACAAATTTCACCAGAAAGGATCCAACTCATCTGTAGTTTATGTAACGTACTATTCACACATTTCAAAACTAGTGTCATGTTTAGTAAAATAAATCTAACAATCATTTAAAGACAACAAAAGTACTATATATATAGTTACTGTTATTTTTTTGAGTTGGTTTTGAACTTTAAACCCCCTTGATATGAATATGGAGAAACATTTCAATTGGTATACGAAATCTAAGATGGTGACCATTAAATGGCTACTTTTATTTACCTGGAAAAGAAACAGACAATATGATGTGTATTTTCTTAATTTCTTCATAACACAATTATGCGGAGAAAACCCGCTTCATAAATTTGCTTTTGGTTTTAATTTGTCAGTAAACTTTTTTTTTTTTTTGAAAAGGGTACTTGTTATTAATTTTAAGGACCCTGTACTGTATTACATCGAGTCAAATTATACGCTATATCAAAGAAAGATCAAGGTGTAGCAGAAATGTTGGGACAAAAAATAATAAACTGATGCTCCGCTCCGCAAGAATTGAAATGTTAACAACTGTGTAATGTGTATAAGGCAACCATTCTGGAAAGAAATGCAGAAATTTTACTTCGAACATAACACTTAATTTATTTTTACACAAATTAAGTCGTAATAATTTATTTCAGAAATTAAATATAAGTGTTGTTTTAATTAATTGCCTAAACTTCTTATATTGCCAATATATTAACACCGCTGCGTACTACGACGTTCTTCTGAAACAATTAGTCACTCAAGCCTATCAATGGTCTGGATTATTTATGAAAATGGATGGATTATTTATTTCAAAGAAATTACTCTTATAGGAAACAAGTGCCAGTTGGTAGCATTTTAGTTTAGTATAGTAGAAACCTTTAGCTATTCAACTCCCAATCAAACCCTAAGCATGAAACAATATGGTGGCGAGTTGACTTAATGATGGAAAAGTAGGTTGCTCATGCTGCATCTACCCACACGATCGACAATAGCATGTCCCGATCGATTGGATCAGTCATCAGTTAGCAATTGAAATATCCTGTTTCAATTATGATGCGCGGTCTAAACTTTGTTTCTGAAAAACATAAACATTTTTCTTTAGAAAAAAAAAGATAAATTTCATTTATTTGTTAGAAATCGCATTTGACAACATGAATAAATCGTCCAAATCACAATTTACAACAAATTACTATTATATTATTGTGTTTATAATAAGTAAATTTATACATATCTAATCGAAATAGTGATGGATATATCATGTACCAAAATGCATATCTCATGAAGCCTTGAGTTAAAAATCTAACTAAGAGATTTTAACGGCTGATTCTTTTTGTACAATGCACATAATCCTACGAATATCACCAATGAGATCATAAACACTGCAAACGACATACTCTACCTTCAATCAGGAGGTTCGACTTATTAAGAGAACATTACAATGTATTCTACCTTCTCAATAGATTAACCACTCTACGGAAGGAAATTTTTGAGGGTTGGACAAGAATAATTGTCTAAAAAATGAACAAGACATATATATATATATATATATTTTTTTTTGTGGTCAAAATCTAACTATACCGGGAACTGGTTTCCGTTTTACTAATTATCATTAATAAAATGGAAATCTGATTTTCGTTTTTATTTATTTGATTAAAAAATCATAAAATTGGTTCGAATAATGTCAACGAAAAAAAGAAAATCAATTTCCACGGAAAAAAAAAGTTTAAAACCGAAAATTGGAATTCCGTTCTTGAATTAGAATCTAAATAATTGTGTTGACACTGACCGACTGAACGCGGGACAGTTGGGCCAGGCCTTTTCAGAAAAGATGGAAAATGAATTCCCGTTTTTTCTTCCTAAAGCCGGAAATCCAAATTCCGTTTATAATTTTAAATCTGATTCTCAGAACAATAATTGTGATGACACTGACGCACTATACACGGGACCAGGCGGACCAGGATTTGTCAGTAAAAACGGGAATTCAAATTCCATTTTATTGTTCATTTATAATCGAACAATTTCACTGTTTACTTAATTGACAGTTTTGAATCTGAAGAAAAATATGCAATTCTGAACAGTTTTGGAGAAGGAAGTGCAACTTTAGCTTGTTTTTTATGCCACATTTACATCATTAAGAAGGTTAGTAATGATTTAATCTTATTTATTACATGTTATTTCGTCTATTATTTTTTTTAATTGTTTGAATTAGTGTAATTATATTTAATGGTGAGATGATTTACGAAATCAGTAATCATATATGTTATATGGAATAATTTGTTTTGTATATATTTTTATTAAGATTTTTAAGGTCGTGTTTAGTTTATTTTAATGTCATTGTTAATTACATTAATTTATTATGGATGATTACATTTAAACAGGAGAAAATGGAGTAGAATGGTCCGTATTTTATTAATGTATATTGGAGAAGTAAGTATGTTGTAGAGGATGGTACGATTAGAACCTTTGATAACAGAGCAGATGACACATTGTTTATTGCACGAAAATTGTCATATTCTGAGTTTTTGGGCAGAATTTGTGATAAAGCCGGA